AAGCGATTTAAACATTTTCAAGGCTGGTGTTAAGTGGTAACTGAAAACCATAGACATCTACAACATAAATGCGCCACCCATCTTAAGATATAAGTCATAAGTTATAGTTGCAACAGCTGCCCCACCCTTCAAACCGAAACGCATTACTGCTTCACAGTAGAAATAGGCAGGATGGTGGTACCTACCCGTGTGGACTCACAAGACGTCCTACCACCAGTAATTACGCAAATTATAATTTTGCGGGTTTCATTTTTATTACACGATGTTATTCCTTCACCGTGGAAGTCAATCGTTAACATTTGTCAAGTACGTATTTCATTAAAAAAATTGGTATCCGCCTGCGGGATTCGAAAACCGTTGCATCGCTAGATACGAATGCACCGGACGTCTTATCCTTTAGGCCACGACGACTTCATAGGTTTTTTGTTCTCACAGATATAAGCGTACAGTGCCCGGCAATAAATATTGCACATCGGTTTTTGGAAATAGATGATCGAGCCTTTGGATCTCTGTCGCACGAAGAACTATACCGCACGGACAAACGTCAAATAGGCAGTGTGCGACAGAGAAAACGCTCTACGAATGGGAAATTAGCCGTCTGTCTCTTTCGAATAGTCGATGCGCAATATTTATTACCAGGCACTGTATATCTCGGCGGATCTATATGTTATAGAAAGCTTCGTCATTACCGTCGTATTAGTGGTCAATTATCAACCTACCAAAATTGTGAATACGTCTCATTATAAATTATCCATTTGCTTTTGTTTCCATAAACGTAGTCTCAACTATGAATAGAGTTTTCTAATTGAGTCTCCTAATAAATAAAAACTCTTTCAACCAAAAAACTAAATGAATTGCAACTTAATTATTACGACAATTAAGGTAGACTTTGCTATTTCAGTTCACAGTTTTTTCCGCTTTGTTGAAGTGGTTCGTTTGTCTCTCATATCGCCTATCGTCGTTTTAACTATGCTTAGAATTTTCCAGAACATTCAATAGATTCCAGTAGTTTGGATATCAATTTTTGGGGTTGACAACAAAAGGCATTTGTCGAACCGGGACAGCAATACGACTGTCGGAGACCTTAGGACAGTGATTCTCAAACTTTTTTTTGTTGCGGCACATATTTAACGATTTCAAAATTTGGCGGCACACAAAAAAAAAAGATAAAAATTATTTACTTACTCCAACACACTGCATAAATAGTTTATCAAAAAATTTTAATATACGAAATAAACTAAAATATACTATAATTTTTTTTTTGTGAATTTAAATATATATTCATGTTTAAAATATTTTTCTTTTAAAACGATATAATTTAATAATATTAACATTATTATATATGTATTCGCAAAATTTGGCGGCACACTTTTGAAATTTGGCGGCACACAAAAGTGCCGCGCAACAGTGGTTGAGAATCACTGCCTTGGGAAATCGCCAAATCTTCTGGTGTTACGCCAAGCGCCAACAAACAATACTGGACGTAGGACCGATAGGCCGGGAATACATAGAAATGCGGACACTCGGATATTTTACTGCCAAGATTTTACCGAGATCTTCAGAGATTGCACAATACATTCCTGTGTTGAGAGGTCAGTTTCATTAACATGTCAAGAGCCGTCACATTCGCCGCGATGAATACTGGTCTCCGGTCTCTGGTCACAAAGATTTGCTATGTTAAGTTATTATAGTTACTGTCTGCTGCCCTATTGTCCTTTATTAAACTTCCGTGTATTCAAAAGTTTTGCGGCAAACTCCTCCTTCTCCTCGCGTCGTTTCCTCACTGCTGGGGGTCATGACCATTTCTTACGGATCGCTTGGAGCCTCTGGGTCTGCGGAGGGACTTCGGTTCCCTCTGTATTTTGTACCGTATGTTCCATGGGGAGTGCTCTGAGGAATTGTTTGAGATGATCCCTTCATCTCCTTTTTATCATCGCACCTCCCGCCATCGGAGCAGAGTTAATCCATATTATCTGGAACCGCTGCGTTCATCGACAGTGCGTTTCCAGAGGTCTTTTTTGCCACGTACCATCCGGCTATGGAATAAGCTCCCCTCCACGGTGTTTCCCGAGTTCCATGACATGTCCTTCTTCAAAAGAGGCTTATGGAGAGTATTAAGCGGTAAGCAGTGGCTTGGCTCTGCCCCTGACATTGTCAAAGTCCATGGGCGACGGTAACCACTCACCATCAGGTAGGCCGCATGCTCGTCTGCCTACAAAGGCAATAAAAAAAACATGTTTCGAGAGGATTTCATTTTCTTATTATGTCCTGCCATCGATATATAATAATATTCATCAGTTGCTACAAACATGGCACCCTAAATGGTGTGGGAGCACATGACATAAGGCCCTTTTTGTGCGCATCTGTCTAATGTCCTGACCGATGTCAACAGGATAATAGAATAGGTGAAATTGCTAGTTCCTGATTCCTTATGTTGCAATATATAGGACCAGTTAGCTTTTCGAACCTTACTGTTCAATGGTATTTCGCGTAGTCACTATGAATCTAAACGACAGGGGTATGAATAAACCACAGGCTTAATCCACGGAGTTTCTGGCCGCGTCTACTCATTGAATCCCGATTTCGAATTGGTGCTAGATCCTGTGAGTCGATGCTCTTGCGAGGGCAGATGTTGGCAACGTAAGCTCGTCTACACACCCGCTGAAGCCAGAATAGCCCTGCAAGGTTACAGGCACTAGGCAAAAAAGTGCATTGAACCCGTATTGGAAAAATCTACAACACATATATATTGGTGTTAAGACGTCTTGTGAGTCCGCACGGGTAGGTACCACCACCCTGCCTGTTTCTGTCCCGAACCAGTAATGCGTTTCGGTTTGAAGGGCGGGGCAGCCGTTGTACTGTTAAAAGTGAGATCTTAGTACTCATGTCTCAAGGTGGCTCGCGGTATTAACTTTGTAGATGACTATGGACTCCGGTAACCACTTAACACCAGGCGGGCCATGTGCTCGACCACCGATCTAAGCCATAAAAAAACGTACTTATACATATCCATTACATTCTTCTATAACGTTTCCTGTGCTTATCTTCTTCTTTTTCTTCACCTTGTCCCACTAGGTGGAATCGGCACAGCTAATTTTTCTCTTCTATTCTCTTTTATCAGCCGTCAGCTCAACACTCACTCCTCTGTCTTTCTCATATCGTCATTCACACACTCCATCCATGTCTTCTTCGGTCGACCTCTTCCCCTCTACCTTGTAGTAGCATTTCCATACATCTCCTAATCTCATGCATCTTCTCTCTACGTATCACATGTCCATACCACGCTAACCTTGTGTTGTGATCTGTTTCCTGTGCATAACTTGGGTTCAAATTTGAAATAAAACAATCGACAATTTCTGAGCAACAACGACATTAGAGCTTGACGAAGCCATATTGGATGCGGCCCATAATTCGGTGATGATAGATTCGGACTAAAATAGGTATTATTTTAAGCACAAAACTTCGTTTGGTCATATCCATTATAATGTTCCAAGACCCGTGCGACTTGTTCGTTTGACCTCCGCAGTATGAGTCATTGTTATGTCACATTCATACCCCAAGGTCTGCCTAAACACGTTGTTTCCGAAAATTACTAAATATTTAAGTATTTTCATAAAGGCATATAAAACTTACTGGTGGTAGGGCGTCTTGTGAGTCTTATGAGTGTGTAAAGCAATAATGCGTTTCTAACTTTTATGTTTTAACTATACCGGTTATATGGTTGTAACTATACGAAGACCTTAGAACTCACATCTCAAGGTGGGTGGCGGCATTTACGTGGTAGATGTCTATGTCAGGGAGGCGGATCTCACCCAAGCCCTGGGCCCTCTAAGTGTTTCGGGTCGCCTTCATATGTCGGTCTGAGGACCGGCGAAGGGGGCCTAAGAAGACGACGTGCAAGCTGCTCTGCACTCGTTTTACGCAAGAGCATCCGGGTGATGGAAGGCCGGCTATCCTCGACCCACGCTGGTTCTGACCCAGCGGGGTATTCCGTAGGATAACCCATTCTAACCGGCGCCATCTAGGCGGGCTCCGGATAGCCTGCCGACCGAGAGGGCTGGTGGTCGTGGCGCCGACGACCGCTGTTCCGGCGTCCCGAGGGGGAGGGTGATGGGAGAGATGTGCTCCGCACTAAACACTTCACTTTCCCCCCTTTGCCTTTTCATGGGTTCTGTCCCGTGCGAGGTTCGGACGTGGATTGTTGAGCGACAGGCGGTTTTAGTCGGTTCGACTCCGACATGCCCCGCCCTCCATCCCCAGGGGAGGCGGAAGTCCGGCGATTTCCTCCTGACCAAAAAAAAAAGTCGAGCCCTACCGTATGTAATTGGTTATCTTTCGCACGGACCCCATATGTTAGGTGATTTTAAGATGACTTCCACAGAATAGGGTACCTTTTTAATATATTCGCGTAATTATTTTAATAGTGATGAGATGCTATGATGTTCCGTATCATCATCATTATCAGCTATTGGACAACAAAATTGGTAGCTCCACTGCTCTAGTAACAGTGTTCTTATATGCCCCCATAGCAACATCCGAAAATGTCCCACTGAGTTACTCGCGGGATATTCGCAGTGGGTCGCGTTTCCGATCCGGTGGTAGACGGTTCACTATTTTGGCGATAATGGTTTACAAATAAAATATAGCCAACGTCACAGGCTTTTTTGTCAGACTATTTAAGACAAACATTTTCATTTTACATTATATACGGTTTTTGCATGACAAAATAACTCGCAGATTGCACTTTTTTCCTTCTTACTTGACACTTATTATTTTGGCTAACTCACACTATATCTTTATAAATTATAGCCTATGTGTTATTCTGATGTGGCAGCTATGTTATTGTAAAGTTTCATTAAAATCCATCCAGTAGTTTTTGCGTGAAAGACTAACAAACATACATTCTTACAAACTTTTACGTTTATAATATTAGTTGGATTGGCTCACCTATGCAATGCCAATGTTCCAAAAGTATATAATCTGATATATTTTTTTCGCAGGCTCCGAAGCGGTAATAGAATGCACCCCCGAACTGATGAAGGTCACCATACCGATGGACGGTGACCGTCAGGTGGCTTATTTGGACCAAATTAAAGGTAAATGACACACAATTTTTTTACAATAGCCGGCAGGTAGGTAGCAATGCCCTACCTAGTTCAGTCGCGAGAGATTACTACCTCATCTCTCAAAGTTGATGAGAAACTCAGCGGGCACACACACGCCCAAAATACATGTGAAATTATATGAGAATTCAATTTAATCTAACTACAATTCAATCACCAACTAAGATGACTATGCCGTGTAAGGGAGATATCTAAATTGCCATTTTGTAACTAGGGCAAACTATTTGGTAATGTTTTACAAAGATAAATTTGAAAGAATATCTATTTTTGTTGGTCCACGGTTAAAAAAATAAAAAAATATGGAAAATATGTGTATTTTGGCAACCCTACGACTTAAAAAAAATCCAATGTAGTTTGAACTAGTAGCTAATTAACCAAAGAACGTTTCAAACATTATTTACGTAACATTATAGAATATAGATCTATGCCCCACACACACATGTTGATGACATGTAGCTCATTGTCTTGTCTTGAAGTCGTCGTGGCCTAAAGGATAAGACGTCCGGTGCATTCATGTTGAGTAATGCACCGGTGTTCGAATCTCAGGCGGGTACCAATTTCTCTAATGAAATACGTACTCAACAAATGGTCATGATTGACTTCCACGGTGAAGGAATAACATCGTGTAATAAAAACCAAACCCGCAAAATTATAATTTGCGTAATTACTGGTGGTAGGACCTCTTGTGAGTCCGCACGGGTAAGAACCACCACTCTGCCTATTTCTGCCGTAAAGCAGTGATGCGTTTCGGATTGAAGAGCGGGGCAGCCGTTGTAACTATACTGAGACCTTAGAACTCATATCTCAAGGTGGGTGGCGGCATTTACGTTGTGGATGTCTATGGGCTCCAGTAACCACTTAACACCAGGTGGGCTATGAGATCGTCCTATATATGCAGTAAAAAAGAAAAGGCCCAAAAGATAAAATGGCCACAAAGATACATATGCTATTGACCAAACATTCATTAGCCTGTCGTATAAAGATATTCGGTTTTTGTTTATACAAGTTTTGGTATTACCTTATTTCAGATTACAAGCCATGTCGGCCTGAATTCAACGGGAAGGTTGCCACGTTCATATTAGATCTACAGGACCCACACAAATGTGGAGTGACCCGGGTGCTTAATAAGATATCAGTAAGTACCTTTAACTTGGGATCTTTTTGGGTGCTTCACTAGGGATCTTTTTAGAAGGCTCAAAGTCGCGCAGCGAGCTATGGAGAGGGCTATGCTCGGCATTTCTCTACGTGATCGAATCCGAAATGAGGAGATCCGTAGAAGAACGAAGGTTGCTGACATAGCCCGTAGAATTAGTGAACTGAAGTGGCAATGGGCCGGCCACGTAGCACGAAGAGAGGACGGTCGATGGGGCAGAAAGATCCTGGAGTGGCGACCACGTACTGGCAAGCGCAGTGTGGGACGGCCACCTACTAGATGGACCGACGACCTAGTAAAAAGCGCTGGGTCTCGTTGGATGCAGGTGGCAATGAACCGGTCGCACTGGAAATCTATTGGAGAGGCCTATGTTCAGCAGTGGACGGCGATAGGCTGAAATGATGNTTAATAAGGATTAGTCTTACTGGTCAATCGGAAAAGGGGATGTCGAGAAATTGGATAAATAGATTTCATAGCTATACTGCTATCTCTACATCTAGAGCTGGAACGGGACAATTGAAATAAGGATTCAAAATATCTAGATTTATCTACCAAGAATCTTGATCTGTGAGACCCTACCCCATGCTCACGAATGACTTCCACGACGAAGATACATATGACATCGTATGATAAAAATCAAAACCGCGAAAAAAAACTGTCATTTTCATAATCACTGCTGGCTTTTTGTTAATCACGCTTTTTAGTTTGAAGGTTGAGGAAACCGTTATACTAAAAAATTGAGACTAAGAACAAATGTCTAAGGATAAGTGCTGATATATTCTTCATCGAAGCCTATATGATCCATTAATCACTTAACAACTTAACAACGGTAGGGCCGTGAGATCTTTAACCGATTTAAACAATAAAAAACAGAACTTTTAACCTTGTTTATATAAATGTGAAAGTAGAAACTACAATTTGGGTTAAAATAACCCAATCTACAGATGAATGGATATCTTTGGAGGAGGCGTTTACCAGAGGAGGGGTTCTTGCAAGTGAACTACCTAGTACCTAATACTATCCAACAAACATAATTGTTAATCGTATAGATACAATTTTGGTTTTATAAGACACCTACCTTCAAGAAATATAAGGCTTTATTTATTTATATCCACAAAACAGTACTCTAAGGCTCACGTCTTTCCTAACCTAATCTACTTTTTCCAGGGCAGTCGAACGTTCTACCACAACATACTGATTGAAGGTCTGGACGGGAACCGCGAGGCTATCTCTGTCCGCTGCGTCTTAAGCGGGAAGCACCACAATCTAACGAAGAGGGACTCCAGAGCATTCCCTTTCGACTTCGACGAGCCCAAGTGAGTATTTCATGGACCGAATTTCGCACCAATACTTCGCCAGGTCCCCAAAGTGGAACACTAACATAAAATAACGCTTTTGTCGTTTCAGCGTGCTGAACATCACTCGTTATGAAGAAGGGAAGGCACCAGAGCCGGTCTTGGGAGCCATCGTCAAGCAAAACGGAAAGCAGTGAGTATTCCGCATAGATACTCCCAATTACCTAAAGATTGGAGGACTGGTCTAAGGCTTTGGTAGAGTGGTCTGAATGATCTGAATTCACTCCAGAGCCGCACTGATTGTGATACTTTGTTATTTCTCCAGGGTATCGGGCGAGATCTCGGTCAGTCCAGGCACGCCGTTGTCCATGGAGATATTCCTGAACAACGAGTCGGCCAGCGTCTATGGCCTTCTGGTGAACTACATGCACGTCACCGACACCGGGAAACAGCAGGAAACGATAATTCTGAACGGGTGAGCATGGTTTATTTGACCGATAATGCAATGAAAAGTCGTCATGGCCTAAAGAGTCCTGAAGAGGCCACGACGAATTGCTTGAGATGATCCCCTCATCTCCTTTTTATCATCGCACTTGCCGCCATCGGGGCAGAGTTCATCCATATTATCTGGAACGGCTATGTTAATCAACAGTGAGCTTGTAGAGATCTTTTTTGTCACGTACTATCCGGCTTTGGAATGAGCTCCACGGTGTTTCCCGAGCGCTATGACATGTCCTTCTTCAAAAGAGGCTTGTGGAGAGTATTAAGCAGTAGGCAGCGGCTTGGCTCTGCCCCTGGCATTGCTGGAGTCTATGGGCGACGGTAACCACTCACCACCAGGTGTACCATATGTTTGTCTGCCTACAAGGGCAATAAAATTTTTTTTTTGATTTGATAAGATTGCATTCATTGATTTGATATCCTTTGATAAGACGCCCGGTGCGTTTGCATCGACGGATGCGTCTGTGCCGGTGATCGAATCCCGCAGGCGGGTACCAATTTTTCTAATAAAATACGTACTCAACAAATGCTCACGATTGACTTCCACCGTGAAGGAATTACATCGTATAATAAAAATAAAACTCGCAAAATTATAGTTTGCGGAATTACTAGTGGTATGGCGTCTTGTTTCAATTTTGTATACAGTTAGACCAGCCTTTCCCAAAGTGGGCGATAACACCCCTTGCGGGCGCTGCAGATCTAAAAGGGGGCGGTAAGAGATCCAGAAGACAAATGAGGGCGTTGTATAAAGGCTTGGGAGGCGATTTGTTATTTCATCTAGGAGGACTATTATACACCGATTGAGCTCTCACTATAATGGTTATTATGTTGATGAAAAACAGGGAGCACTAAAAAATAATTTATTCACAAAGTGGGCAGTAGACATTATAAGTTTGGGAACCCCTCTAACTCTAACTGTTAGATGACAGCCAAACTTGTCATAATGCATTTTACGAAATTTATATTGTTTAAAACAAAAAAACCCAATGTACATTATTATTAGTCTTATTTTTAGATCGATTTTTGCTGTATAGAGACCGCCCGACCCTTGAAGAAACGAGATATATTTTCAAGATTAGGCTCGGAGTTACCCAGGGATGGGTTCTGATACACTAAAGTTTTATTAAAGGGGACGAGAAAAGGTTGAGAAGCACTGATTCTAGATCTAAATAACTCGTATTTTCCTCAGATGTTCCGTCGACCCGTATCTGTTTGAGAACTTCGTCACCACCGACGGAGACACGCTGACGGCGAAGTTCAGAGCTTTCAAGTTCCCGGACACCACATACGTTCAGTTCAAGGGGACGGTGACGGTCTGCCTCAACGAGTGTCAAGGGGTGAGCCCGGAGTCGAAATCCTAATTAATATTTATCATTAGAACTTAAAGTCAATGCAATGTGCCTTAATGCACACACACACAGAGACACACAGAGAGATAGAGAAAAAGAGAAAGAGAGAGGGCGAGAAATAGAGAGAGAGACAGACAGACATACACATGCTAACACACCCATTCACACTACTCTCTTTCATGTATTACTAGTGGTCCCGCAGTACTCGAAATTCGACTCTAATTAATTGAAATTATAACTTTGAACATTATTATAGTTATATTATCAAAGACTATTCTTTAATCACAGATTCGCCAAGACTGCACTATAGAGAAATAATATTAAAGACAAACAATATTAATCTATTCTCAAATTGACTACAGACTTTAAACAATAACAAAAGTTTGACAATAAACACAAATGATATACATAATATGTGTTGTGTCAAATACACGGTAGTGTGTGTGATGTTTTTTTATTATTGATTTAATCTATATATTAACACGTGAAGCAAAAACTTTGTATCCCTTTTTAAGAAAATTGCGCAGACGGAGGAGTATGAAATTTTCCACACTTATAGAGAATATAGAGAAGAAGTGCACAAAACTAATATTTTTTTAAATAATGCTTATAAGATACATTAAATCAGTAAAGGAAACATTACACACACTACATACCATGTATTTGACGCACACACGCATGCATACTATTTATTTATTGTCAAACTTTTGTTCTTGACGTCTGTGGTCAAATTGAGAATAGATTAAATACATAGACCTTTAAAGTTATTAAATATTGTTTGTCTTTATTAATATTTTTCTATAGTGTAGCCTTGATGTTGAAAATACAATCATAATAGTGTACAAACTTACAATTCCAATTAATTATAGTCGAATTTCGACTACTGCGGGACCTCTAGTATTAATGTAATTATTAATGCATAATTTAAAAACATATTAAGATTCTGCACTCCTTCTCTATATTCTCTATAAGTGTGGGACATTACATACTCCTCCGTCTTTTTGGCAATTAATCTTATTTTTTGTTTCATTTATGTAAATGGAACATTTATTGTTTTATCAAATTGTAAACTTTTAACTCAAACGCTTTTTTTATAAAAAGCACTTATAACGTTACGTTGTAAAAAGCTGCGTTACGTTTGAAGATTGAGCTATAAATAAAAGCAAATTTAAATTGTATATTTTTTTAGGTACAATGCAGTAACGGCATGATTGGCTACGGCAGGAAACGCAGATCGATAGAAAACTCAGAATCCAATAAGCTGTACGAGGTAGCTCTGACTACGTTCATTAAGGTCGATTATGCTAATGGCGAATCTAGGGAAGCTGGTAAGATAATTCGTTTTTTTTTCTCTCTATTTTTTATATAATTCAAAGATATCTCAGAAAATTATCGATTATGTCAGCGGTCGTTAACATTGTCAACTAAAACTCCCAAATATACTTTTATAGCTTGGTATTTCAAAGGTCATTACCCGTCTCTTAAGATTTTTTTTATTGTTTAACTGGGTGGACGAGCTCACAGCCCACCTGGTGTTAAGTGGTTACTGGAGCCCATAGACATTTATAACGTAAATCCGCCACCCACCTTGAGATATAAGTTCTAAGGTCTCAGTATAGTTACGACGGCTGCCCCACCCTTCAAACCGAAACGCATTACTGCTTCACGGTAGAAATAGGCGGGCTGATAGTACCTACACGTGCGGACTCACAAGAGGTACTACCACCAGTAAAATGTTTGTCGCCCTTTTCATCAAAGCAGCATACATAGCTGCTTCACATCAAGAATAGGCAGTTTGGTGCACTTGCCTATATATGTCCTGTACTGTAAAGGGGGTGGAGCTATTATGCACAATAATTGAGACTTCAGCCTCATCTTGAGGTCGGTAGCCACGTTAATATGTTGTCTATGAGCTCCAGTAACCATTAAAGACCTGATAAGTCGTCAACTTGTGCACGTATTTAAGCAATAATAAGAAAAACTTCAAAAACCTTAAACAGGAAGACATTTTAAAAATTTCTCATGGGTCAACTGCTTATCGAATTGCAGAGGACGTATTGAATTTACTGAAGAACTTGAAGATCGCAAACCAGAGGCTGGGAGACCACGACGGTACACCGGCCACGGTCGCCGAGCAAACCCAGGACAACAAGCTAGTGCTGCACCCCCAAATATACGAAACGATACGCGGCGGCAGTAGCGCTGCTAAATATAGCGCGCTTTTAACGCTACTCTGCTTCGTTATAACCACAAAGATTCTAAAATAAATATTTTGGTGTTTTAACTAAAAACGTTCTACTGAAAAATAATAGTTTAGCGTTAAATTTATGTGAAATGCAATATAAATTTGATAATCAACTAAAATTCAGTTTTCGAAAAAAAAAAAAAAAAAAAATACGTGTATTATTTTATGAGGTGATCATAAATTAATGGCTTTTGTTAGAAAAAAAAACATTCTCAAATAAACTTTAAGTGAATTAAAACATCTATCATCTTACTTACCAAAATAACATTAAAAAATAGCATGCTAAAAAAAAAACACAGCAGAATTTATTTTTTTAAACAAGTGCTTTATACAATCTCAAATTATTTCTACGTAATCATGGTTTAACGATTACGAATTTAGTGTTTAAATGAAGTGATCTAAAATTAGCATAGCTTAAATAAGTGCCTAAAATAATTTTAATTAACTATAAGTACGCTAGTCTTAAAATAATCAAATGTACAAGATGGATGGGGAAAAAAACGCGCATAGCTCCATTGTTATGAGAAGAGCAAAGGCCAGTTTCGTAAATTGGGTTGTTATAATAAAAAAACAATTGTAAAGTGAAAAGACGACTTCAATTCTTATTCATTACTGGCTGACCCGGCAGACTTCGTAGTGCCTCAATCGATAAACAAAAGACCTAAGCTTTTGTATAAAATAAACTTAAAACAAACAAAAGGAATCCGTCCGACGGGGGACACATCAAAGGAAAAACAAAATTGTTATTTTTATTTAATTCCGAGCATTTTCATATTTATCTACCTTTTAAACCTTCTCTGGACTTCCACAAAAAATTCAAGACCAAAATTAGTCAAATCGATTCAGCCGTTCTCGAGTTTTAGCGAGACTAACGAACAGCAATTCATTTTTATATATATAGATAACAACATCACATGTACAGATGTGCATGCTTAAATTAAGCATACTAAACATACTAAAACTCATCATTTATTATATCGAATCTAGAAAAATTACAATCAAACCCAGTGAAATCGAACCTAAATTGTTTTCTACAGAACTACAGACAGCTTAGACTATAGATTTTACGCCAGGACGAACGAAATAAGATAATGTAGAGGACCCCAAATATGTAATACTTAACATAAACTTAATAATAACGATAAAAACATACACATAAAAATGAACTAGTAAAATAGAAAAAGTTATATTTGGTATAATTTATCTCTATTCTTGTAACATTCCATTCCCATGACATCATTAAAAAGTGTAGCTATATTTTAATATTTTTGTAAGAATTCCCGGAAAGTATTTTGTTTTCCAAAATATATTTGGCCCTCCTGCTTTTGTAGTCAATTTTATTAGCCCGAAAAGGTATGTAGTTAGAACATCCCTGAATGAAATATAGAATTAAAATTGTGGTTCAAAACGATTGCGCTAAACACTAAAATGGCTCATTACTTTGTTTATATAACACTTGACTTGATTATTTACGGCCTATTACAAGCGAATTAAACACGATGTAAGCTTTTAAGCGCCTATTAATAAAGCCGGTTCTATTCCCATATTTAATACAGTTTAATATCGTAAAGCTACACACAAAACTTTTAATACAAAAGCGCGCTATAACTTTTCCTAAGCAATATATCGTTAAATCGTGGTTAATAATAAGCTATTTGTAGTTTAACGTTGCAAATCGTTAAATATTATACAAAAATTTACGATCCTATCTTTGATTAGAATATTAATTTTGAATTCTATCAAAGACACAGTCTTAGTGTTGGTTGACGCGGCTAAAGATGATTGAAAACTGAAACGGTAGTAAAGTTATAATTAAAAAAAAACTTGGTGCACGTGAATGAAGTGAAACTTCTTGTTTGTGGGTGGTTTTCTTCATTCTTCAACATTTATATTATATATATTTTTAATTATAGATAGAACAGTAGGTACATTGTGCATCAAGGGAGAAAAGTTGGACATTTCCTGGAAAACACGCGGAATGTCCTACTTTTTTCCCGCGTTGCACATACTATTTTTTCTCCTACCAGGCCGATAGTTCGACATTGTAAAAAACTTAGCATCCGTGGAGTACCGAGCCGGTAGTAAATCAGTTTAGGTAGGATAAAAAAAAACTCGCGTGTTAAGCGAAATGTCGCATAGACGAAATAGCCTATCTCCCTTCGATACGTATTTAGATGTGGGTATGTTTTAAATCGATGCCTCCAATGAACACTACTCTAACTAAAAATTTTGAAATTTTCGTTTTTCTTGCAAATCGCTTCACTATGATAAAAGTATTACAATTAATCATTATCGATGGAGTTCGAAGCAAGAGTAGATCAGCTAGTTACACAAAAAAAAACCATAAATATATCTGCAATAATAAAGATTGTATCAACTTTTTTCGTTTAAACGCTCCTCCTGTAAACCTACGAATTAGGAGTTAGCGTAGTGTTCATTGGAGCCATCGAAATTATAATATCTACAAAAATAAGCAATAGTTCTCGTCACTGTTTAGCGAATCTAATCTATTCGGTCAATTGTCGTCACAAGTCACAAGTCAATCAAGTATAGGTAGGTAGGTACCACCGCCCCGCCTATTTCCGCCGTGAAGCAGTAATGCGTTTCGGTTTGAAGGCTGGGGCAGCCGTTGTAACTATCTTATATCTCAAGATCTTATATCTCAAGGTGGGTGGCGCATTTACGTTGTAGATGTCTATGAGCTCCAGTAACCACTCAACACAAGGTGGGCTGTGAGTTCCTCCACCCATCTAAGCAATAAATAAATAAAAAGTATATAAAAATATAATTACGATTATATAGCTACATCTGAAATCATATATACTAATGCAGAACTACTGTTAACTCAACGACAAGCTCGTCTTGAATCACAATTGTACATTAATTCTACTTTCGTAATTATTAATTTAGGTTTATTTTTTAAAAAGAGCAATAAATATTAATTTTTCTAAGAAACTGGTTTTATTTCTTCTTCTTTTTTTAACAAATCACGCACGGTCGTCTGACCCTAAATTAGGATTGTCTGTTTTATAACTACCTCCTTCTCCTCGCGTCGTTTTCCTAATTACTGAGGGTCGTGACTCCCCCGCTGCATCAGTTTCTCCCGTACGATTTCCCTCAATCTGCTGCGATCCTTAGCTTCATGAAGGGCATTGTGGAACTTGATGTTCAAAGAAGATCGTATTTTGTTCAACCATCTCGTGGGATTGCGTCCTCTGGGACGTTTGCCATCTACCTTGCCTGTCACCATCAGCTGTTCTAGATTGTGACCCTCTTTACTAGCAATATATCCGAAGAATTCCAGCACCTTACGAAGGCATGTAGTGGAAAATCTAGTTTTGATATTAATCTCTCTCAGAATAGACACGTTGGTGCGAAAGACGGTCCATGGAATCTGTAGCATTTTTCTCCAGCTCCACATTTCTATTCCTATTCCAGTCTAGTCTATTTCTATTCCACTCTATTCGGTCTCTGTTGATCTTTTTCAGGGTCCAGGTCTCCGCTCTATAACTGAATATGGAGAAAACTAGCGTGCTCACCAATTTGGTTTTAGTTTTTCGCGAGATCTTACGGTCTCTCCATAAATTTTTTTTTTAAAAAATCCCAAAATACTTTATTTGTTTATAAACAATTTCTTAACAAATAGCGTAATTTATTTTTTTAAATGTTAATTAATACCTATGGTAGATGCAAAAAACAGCAATATTAAGATATTACGGAAAAAGACTATTTTTCATAACATTTTTTAGAAATTTAATTTTTTGTTAATTAAAAAAAATTATAATTATCAAAATAATAAAGATTAAAAAATTTTTTTTGCATTTCTTTATTAAGTACTTAAATGATAAGAGCTCCATTAAGGGGAAAAAATTATAGATGAATTATTGAAACTTTTATACCGTAATTTATAAAAACAGAGATTGGAAAAAAGTTAGTTAATTAACAATGGTGTAAATTTTTGAAAAATCGATATAAAAAATTTTTTTCACCGAGGTTTTTTTCGTTCAAGTGTTTAGATTACACCATAATTTATTCAAATTTTTAAATTGTTATTTAATACTATAAAAAAAATATTTTAGGTGATATACCGGCTTTTTAGACGGCGCGCCTATGCCGTAACGACCTCGCGGAGCGCTATTTTCAGCGTTAAAATTTTTTTATAAATAATAGAGATAGAATTCCGGGAGTTGGGACTTTTTTATTGGAAATTTCCTCCTCTTTCAGGATCTTTTTTCAAAATTACTTAAATATAATTTTTTTAGAAATTATTAAGGAAAAACCAAATTCCTTTTTTTTTAATCTTATTTTGTTTATAACAATCGCAATTTTTTATGTGCTAATAAGCCCTTAAAAAACATTTTTGTAGACATCATTCCGCATCCAATGAGCTATCGTACATATTTTTAGGAGCTTTATGTCTATTTAACACGTTTTTGAACTTGTTGACTAGACTAAATACAGTACATACAAAAAGCAAACAAACCTGTTCAACAGATGAATGTTTGCCCGGTGCGGAAATCGAACCCACGACCCTCAGCGCAAAGGTTAGAGCCTCTTAACTACTGCATCACCGAGTCAGTTAAACTAACATATGACTTCCACGATGAAACAATATGGGTTAAGTTTTAAATTCAAAACCGAAAATCGTATTATTTTGCTTAATTTCTGGTGACACGGCGTATTGTAGCCCGCATGGGATTGACCCGACATCGTAACTATTCCCGCTGCGAAGCACTATATCTCCATTTGAAGGGCAGACAACTTTTTTTTTATTGCTTAGATGGGTGGACGAGCTCACGGCCCCCCTGATGTTAGGTGGAGCCCATAGACATCTTAAATGCCGCGACCCACCTTGAGATAAGCGTCTGAGTATAGTTACAACGGCTGCTCCACCCTTCAAACCGAAACGCATTACTGCTTCACGGCAGAAATAGGCAGGGCGGCGGTACCTACCCGTGCGGACTCACAAGAGGTCCTACCACCAGTACAAACAACATATGGAGCGCTATGAGATGTCCTTCTTCAAACGAGGTTTGTGAAGAATACTTAACGGTAGGTAGTGGCTAGGCTACGCCCTGGCATTGTTGACGTCCATGGGTGATGGTAACCATTCACCATCAGGTGGGGCGTATGCTCATCTGCCTAAAAGGGCAATAAAAAAACCACTAATGTAATTCGGATAAAAGTAAAAAATCTTTTTTTTTTCCTACCTATGCTGATAGCCTTGAGAGGCTATTTCAGCTTCGCCCTAACTTGTAGGTGAGCTCACGGGGCTCAAACCGGAGTGTTGCTAACACTGACCCTAGCAAGAGCCGTGCTTCGCAGAATCTACCACCGGATCGGAAACGCGACCCACTATCGAGAAGATCCGGCGAAAAAGTCAGTGGGCTGTGTCTGTGGGATAATCTGCTAATACAGACAGAGGATACAACTGATTTCATTATGATTCATAATTCAAGGATTTAACAAAAAAAACACACAATAATGTTTCAGTCTTTTTAATGGAACATTACTTAATAAAACTAATCATGATTACAAACTAAAGAGTATTTAATTACATTTTTAATTAAAATCACTTAAAACTAATTATTACTTAAATATTTACCACCGAATGTTAATAACAATAAGTTCAACAATAGATTGTTAGAAACAGTTTTTCAGAAATGTTGGTATAAATTTCATTGATAATAAATGTTCATGTATTCAAAATTACCCATAAACAAACCTAAAAATTGTAAAGAAGTATATTTTAAAAAATTTGGACCAAACGTAATAAATTTTTTTACAATCTGAAACAAAACTTTCTTGGGAAAATAACATTGAAACAGCTTACAATAGGTAACCGTATTATGGAGGGTAGAGATAAGGAGCACCATCTTGTATAGGGGCAATACTGTCTTTACCATAAGGGCACACGGGGCCCGTGCCCAGGGCTCCCATTCTCAGGGGGCTCCGAAAGACCGACAATTTCTCTCACACGTTTATTCTCAAAATATTTTTGTCGAGCACAGTACACTTTTTTCACAAATCAGTAATCAGAAGGTATTTACAAGGAATATACTATGCCTACAATAGAAGATTTTGCTCAACAGAAATCCCGAAAGAAACCGTTATTGAAATCGTAACCAAAAAACCAGCAGCATTCTAATGTCATTAATGATAATATATCTTATCATACTGTATTTGATTACCTATAATAAATGGTCTCAAACTCAGTAAAAAAATGTTTTTATAATTCGCTTTTTTTACTTTCCAAAAGGGCCTCAAATTCTTGTGTGCCCAAGGGCCCCATCCTAGTTTAAGACGTCCCTGTATAAGGGACAAGTTGAAAAAGTGACGCATCTGTAAACAGCAAGCTATTGTTGGAAGACACAGAAATAGGGGTAGTGTAGCAAGTGGAAATTATATGAATATAGCAGTCGCAGAGTCAAGTGTGCTGGATTGAAATATTTGATATTTTTCGTGACTTGTGTAGTTAAAAAATATTCAGTATTTAAAATATCAACTATTATAAAGTTAAGGATTATTTACTAGGTGGCACTACGTGGGAATGAGGCGCTCGCTCCTGGCCTTTTCATTTTTCATTATTATTATTATTTTTTGAATTGTATTTTTTGACTTGTTTTTTCCTTTATTGTAAATATTTTTATTTATTTAAAAAAAAGAAAATATTTGAGAAAAAACAAGCAAAAAAAAGCCCGCTGAGTTTGTTTCGCCGGTTCTTCTCAGGACTGTGGCTTTTTTTGGAACCGGTGGTAGAGTTAACATTTTCATTTATATTTTGGCATTCAACAAGTGTGTCATACTGACATCTAAGTTGAAATAAATTATTTTGAATTTGAATTTGAATTTATTTTTATTACTATCTACGTAGGAAGTGTTTATTTCTTTCTTTGTAAATAGTTTTTGGCGCTTAAAATCTTTCCACTTGCTACAGTGGCGCCATCTTGATCGGCTCCTTTTCAGCAGACACTTGAATACATTGATCTAATCCTCCTTATTTCTTCTCTAAATATACCGCATATATTACTTAACCTTCAAAATTCAATTTTCACTTGCTTGCAATAATTATTGTTATCTCGATATAAACTTTAAAACTGTGTGTACTAGTTTGATGATATGACAATAAAATGGTACCATTTAGAAAAATGCCTCCTTGGAATGGCTATTTGATTTTTTTTATTCAATGTCCCAATTCTCGGCCGCCATCTTTGACTTGTATAAAGAAAAATGGCGGAAAAAGATAATAAGGTACGTGTAAAAAATTAGGGTGTAGATATAGTACTTTTGAATGACAAAGACTTTAATTTTAATTTTTTGTTTTTTCTAAAACAAACTTTTCTCAATAATAAAGTATGCATTTACGATTATTTATTTACAAATAAAATATTTTACTTACACATCGACCTGAAAATATATTTAGGGGCAAGAATGACCTAGTATTGCCTAAATAAGGTCAGTGAGCATTTTGGGGCATATCACCTTGATAATCTGTTTCATAGGAACCCTTATTAAACATTTTGGCAATGCGCAACGCGGTCGAATTTTAAATTTTATTACGTATTTATACCCTAAAATATAATTTCGATTATCGTGATGATTGTAAAAAGACAGAAAACATTTTTTATAGGTTCTTCAATTAGTAAGGTCGTCTTTTTTTTTGCGATGCTGAGAAAACTGGTCATAACGCGTATTGTGGCTTCGGGCCAGTATTTCCCAGCGTCCTATAACTCAACGGTCGCACGCAAAAGCGTCTATGGCCTGTGTAGCGGCCGCGGGCAATCACTACCCTAGCGCCCTCTAGTAAGCACGCGGTCAAACTCGACCAGGTAAAAAAAACAGCAGGATCATTGAGAGTACCTTTCGGCGAATCTAGAATAACCCCTCGAGGCTCCTAGAATAGATAGGAAAAAAAAAGAGAGTACCTACCGAAGCCAGCGGCCCTTGAAACCGTTGCGCCCACACCCTGTATGCCTATTGCGAGTTTTTAACGATCTCGATAGCGTAAAAGTTAACTCGAATTTGTATGGAGTTTTTTTTATTGCTTAGGGTGGACGAGCTCACAGCCCACCTGGTGTTAAGTGGTTACTGGAGTTCTAAGATCTCAGTATAGTTACAACGGCTGCCCCGCCCTTCAAACTGAAATGCATTACTGCTTCGCGGCAGAAATAGACAGGGTGGTGGTACCTACCAGTGCGGACTCACAAGAGGTCCTACCACCAGTAATTACGCAAATTATAATTTTGCGGGTTTTAATTTTTATTACACGATGTTATTCCTTCACCGTGGAAGTCAATCGTGAACATTTGTTAAATACGTATTTCATTAGAAGAATTGGCACCCGTTTGCGGGATTCGAGCACCGGTGCATCGCTACATCCAAATGCACCGGACGTCTTATCTTTTACAATGAGATGGAACGTTTGCCTACGTTTGCCGCTAGGGGCGCTGTTCCATACAAATTTGAGTTAACTTTTACGCTATCGAAAACGTTAAAAAACTCGCACTAAGCACACTGCACTATAAACAAAACCGTCTCTGGTCGCACGTTCCAATCTGAAGAGCTTTAGATAAAATGGCTTGAAGTCACCCACCCACCCATCTAGGCAATAAAAAAAAAGGTCAGCGGCGACATTCTGGCGGCTTCTAAAACAATCTCTGCAGCCAAATTCCTTTTGACATGGACGGATGTATGAAGAACCACAGATAAAACATGAATGATACACGAAAAAAAACAACAAATTTTCAGAAAAAACTTAAAGAAATTCTATACTTATATGTATTTCCCTAAATCTTAATTTCCATTACATTTTTTTTATTTTTGTTGATTATAAATTTACAATAGTATAAAATACGGAGAGAACACTTTTTACTAAATTCATTATTATTACATTCATATTGGTTTTTTTTTTTTATAAAATTATCGTATTCTAGAGATTATTGTATTTTATCTATGTAGATCATTAACAAATTTCATACCATATCATATCATTTCATTTCATCTCATTTCATTTCATTTCATTTCATTTCACTTCGTAGTATCATTTTTCATAAAAACAACAATATAAATTAAAATAAGGCTTGACCTAAAAGTCTTAGTTACCAGGTCATTAAGTCCCTTAAAAAAAAACAATTATTCAAATCGCAAGCTGTCAGTTGTCAAATTCATGTCTCTGGTTTCCAGAGTATATTTTTACCATATACCACCCGGTTTTGGGGTGGAAATTTATCTACACTGTTTTCTGAGGGCATGTCCTTAAAACTCTTATTTATCAAACGAGGCCTAAACCATCCAATTTTCACTTAAAATTTCCAATACAAGTGGAATTTAAAAAACCTCCTTAAAACAATGCCGATTTCTATTGTAACCCTATCATCTTTAGAGTAGATAAATCTAGAATGACATTTTGTTGACAATTTGTTGTTAAAAAAATGGAATTCTATCTCAAAATACTTTTAATTTAGAATTTAAAATATTTTATGTTTTTATTCAGTAAATTTTACACTAATGCAAATATATGCCTTTCGAACGAAAGCTAAAATAAGTATTTTCCAAGTTGTTCTGTTTGGAATAAAAATGTTGCCATGTACAAAAAAAAAACTTAACAATTTATTATACAGACAACAGACAACCCAACTTTTTTTAGGGAACGCGATTAGGGAAGTTAAGTGAATTGTTTTATTTTGTTTATTTAATATTTCTTCTGGTTTAACACACTTATTGCCAAGGAAACTTCGTCGGGGTTTGACAATATGATTTTCCTATGCATCAGTACCGCTACCACCATTGCGATATCTTTACGTGATGCTCGTGGCCGAACACGTAAGGTAGCGATCTTATAATATCAAATGCTGGATTAGGGTTCGGGCGATTAATTTGAGATAATTGATCAGGCAACACCGCGGCGGCCTCTAGCCGGCATTGAATTGTGTGATAACGGTGGCTTATTTGACGGTAGCGATATCTGACGGTAGGCAGCGGCTTGGCTCTGCTCCTGGCATTGCTGAAGTCCATGGGCGACGGTAACCACTCACCAACAGATGGGCCGTATGCTCGTCTACCTACAAGGGCAATAAAAAAAATATCAAACCCGTTTAGTAGCTGTGAAAATTCACAAATGTGGAATTAAACGAAGCCACTGGACACTAGCTTCTTTGGATCCCTTCAAAACCTCCACTGAAGTCTCAGTAAATAACGACTAATTTATTGAGCCTTAATCTCATTACGTTTCCATTGAATTTCATCCCAAAACATTCAAAGCTCAAATAAATCAACTTCATCACATTTCGTTTCATATCGTCTTGTTAGATCTTTCATTTAACCGAATACTTATTTTTTATAAACTCAACACTGGCAACACTGGCATCGCAACAAGTAGTTTTTTCCCATACTTGTGCACTTTCACAGATACTAAACAGGTTAATAAACCACCGTTATTACGCATTTAAACCTGAAGAAACACTAAATAGACAAAATAAAACAAATCACACAACTTCACTACTCGCGTTCCCGCCAAAAAGTACCGAAATTCTATTTATCAATATGTATGCACTGTTATACCGATTAGATTTACGAATAAAGAAATCTTCATCCGCGAATGGGTCGCATTTTTTTAAATTCGCGATTATTGAAAACGCGAATGAACGAAGCGCGAATAAAGAGTTTTTATTGTATCTGTGGAATTGAATCTTTGAACGTAATTTTCAAGGTATTTTTTTTTTGTTGTCCAAATTCATCTCTAGTCGGTGACTTGCTTCTCGGAGCCGCTCTGCCAACCAGAGTCCATAGTGTTCGTGTCGCTATAACAATGATGGTGGTTTGTCTTCAGGATCTCCTCTTTGCCATCGCGGACCGGTTCGTACTGAGAATCCGGGCCCAGGCATTTAGAAGTTTCCGGACTGTTCGAATACACCTGATCCGGGCTGCGGTCGTCGTCAGACAATAACGACTCTTCTGTTTTAGGGGATAGAGGCGAGATTGGCTGAGCGAAGAATTCCTTCGAGTCTGAGCTGGATTGTCTGGGGTGCTCCTTAGGCATCCTGAGTGGGCTCATGTGTGATCTAGACCTAGGGCTCCCTTCGATTCGGATGCTCGAATTTAGGTCTGCCATTCGATCGAAACGGTCAGACATGCGAGGATCGGTCACACGTTCGATCCGGTCACTCATTCTTGTTTCGTTCATTCGTTCCATTCTCTCGCTCAGGCGCGTATCGTTCAATTTATCGCTCACTCGCGACTCATTGATTCGTTCTATCCGGTCGCTTAGTCGCGAATCGTTCATCTTATCGCTCATTCTCGGATCGTTCATTCGTTCGAACCTCTCGGACAGACGCGATTCGTTCATTTTATCACCGATACGAGAGTCATTCATTCGTTCGAATCGATCGCTAAGTCTGGAATCGTTCATTTTATCACTTATTCTGGATTCATTAAATCTTTCGATCCTATCGCCGTGGCGGGCGTCACTGACTTTATCACAAACTCTAATCTCATTCAATCTCACTTCATTTGCGCGTTCGCTCATTCTACAATCGTTTCTATCGAATCTGCAATCGTTCAATTCGTTCAAGCGATCTCTGGAATCGTTGATTCGTTCACAGATCCTAGCGTCGACTCGTTCGCAGACGTTAAGTCGGTCCCTCGAGTCGTTCATTCGTTCGCTCATTCTATTCTCGTTCATTCGATCTCGGTCGTTTATCCTCATAGCGTTGAGCTGGTCTATTTGATGCTCGGTGAGGCGCACGGGATTGTTGACGCGCATCTTCTCTTGTACCTTCGCGTGCTGGGTAGCGCGTGGCCGGCGCTTGGAGCCGACCTGCGGCTGGGGTCGCTGCTGCCGGGTCAGCGTGAAGGACCCGGTGTCTGATTCGGACGTGGACTCCGGGTGGTTCTCTATGGTGCCCACCAGAGCGGACACGTTCGGATTCACGCAGCAGTCCGCCTGGTGTGGACAGATTTAATTAATATCATAATTATTATTGCATTGCTCATATTTGTATAATATGTTCACGAATATCTATACTAATTAATCCTTTAGGTCACGACGACTTCAAATTAATTTCAACACTATACATTTCACAAGTCGTCGTGGCCTTAAAGGATAAGACGTCCGGTGCATTCGTGGTGAGCGATGCAACAGTGTTCGAATCTCAGACGGGTACCAGTTTTTCTAATGAAATACGTATTCAACAAATGTTCACGATTGACTTCCACGGCGAAGGAATAACATCGTGTAATAAAAATCAAACCTGCAAAATTATAATTTGCGTATTTACTGGTGGCAGGACCTCTTGAGTCCGCGCGGGTAGGTACCACCGCCCCGCCTATCTCTGCCGTCAAGCAGTAATGCGTTTCGGTTTGAAGGGTGAGGCAGCCGTTGTAACTATACTGAGACCTTAGAACTTATATCTCGAGGTGGGTGGCGCATTTACGTTGTATATGTCTATGGGCTCCAGTAACCACATCACACCAGGTGGGCTGTGAGCTCGTCCACCCATCAAAGCAATAAAAAAAATCGATTTCATCATGTTTCAAATCGATAAACATTTAATTAAGCAAGGATTCGATTCCTTTAAACATTCCTAAATATCTGCCTTGAAAACATCCGACACCGAATCGATATGTACGTGGCACATCCTTATCCGAACGAAGCTTATATAGGGTTATCTCTATGAGTGAGGGTGCGTTACCAACCACCCCCAACCCCTCCCCCCACTCCTTGTTACCTTAACGGACACGTTGCAGCAGCTCGACACGTCTGCAAAGTACACCTCCGACTCGGTGTTCAGGTTGGTGTTCCGACAATCCTGCATTGACGATCTGAAACGCGATTGTTGTTAACTATCAATCACCTTCACCTTCACAGGGTCTTTAACCTACAAAAATGCCATATTTTCCCGGGATATATTGTCTGTGCCACTGTCGGATCTTAACTTACAATAATGGCATATTTTCATTCAATCATTCATTTAACCTACAATAATGCCATATTTTCCCGGGATATATTGTCCGTGCCACTGTCGGATCTTAACTTACAATAATGCCATATTTTCATTCATTCATTCATTTAACCTACAATAATGCCATATTTTCCCAAAATATAGTGTCTCGTGCCACTGTCGGGTCTTTAACCTACAATGATGTCATATTTTCCCGGGATACATTGTCCGTGCCACTGTCGGATCTTAACTTACAATAATGCCATATTTTCATTCATTCATTCATTCATTTAACCTACAATAATCCCATATTTTCCCGGGATATATTGTCTCGAGCCACTGTCGTGTCTTTAACTTACAATAGTGCCATATTTCCACGGGGTACAGTGTCTCGTGGCACTGTCTGATCTTAACCTACAATAGTGCCATATTTTCCCGGGATATTATGCTTTTTACTCTTTACTCAAACTGAGTCGGCTGCCTCGTACCTTATAGGCGAATGTTTGTCATTCTGGAAGCCCAAGTTCTCTTTCCCTTGCTTCTGGCAAGAGTCGCTGCTCTGGTCGGAAACTGAAATAGAATAAATATGATATATATTTACTTAATATTTATTTAATTTTAATTTAATTTTAGAGTCCGCGCGGGTAGGTACCACCACCCCGCCTATTTCTGCCGTGAAGCAGTAATGCGTTTCGGTTTGAAGGGTGGGGCAGCCGTTGTAACTATACTGAGACTTTAGAACTTGTATCTCAAGGTGGGTGGCGCGTCTACGTTGTAGATGTCTGTGGGCTCCAGTAACCACTTAACACCAGGTGGGCTGTGAGCTCGTCCACCCATCTAAGCAATAAAAAAAGGATAAAATAGGACAAAAAAATCATACTTTACTAATACTTTTTCAGATATTTGCTAAGAATTTCAATTAAAAACGTCGAACTGTTTATGCTAATCTATATATCTATATATATAAAAATGAATTGCTGTTCGTTAGTCTCGCTAAAACTCGAGAACGGCTGGACCGATTTGGCTAATTTTGGTCTTGAATTATTTGTGGAGGTCCAGAGAAGGTTTAAAAGGTAGATAAATATGAAAATGCTTGGAATTAAATAGAAATAACAATTTTGTTTTTCCTTTGATGCGTTCCCCGTCGGACGGATTCCTTTTGTTTGTTTTAAGTTTATTTTATACAAAAGTTTAGGTCTTTTATTTATCGATTGAGGCAGTATGAAACTATATAGTTATAGTTATAGTAATTAAGCCAATGAAGCATACCTCTACTGCCGCTTTTCTGGTGGACGCATTCAATGGCAATGTTATCGTCCATCCTGCAGTCTCTGTGCAGGTTACTGGCGCTGACCCCCAGCCTCTGACATCGGTACGGCACCAGATGCCCTCTTAGAGTGTTGAACCTCGCCTCCGGGGGCAGATGCGTCACGTCCGCTTGCATCCGGGCCATTTCCGCCACGTACGCGTGCCCCAGATCCGGATTGAGCCGGTGCAGATCCGGATTCATCCGGTTCGCGTCCGGATTTAACCGGTCAATGTCGTTTGTCGGCGCGCCGTGCATCAGATACGAGTTTCTGGAGCACGCGTGCGTCTGTACGTTGGCGTGATCGTGCGCCGGCCTGTGGACGTCGTGGTGGTGGTGGTGGAGGAGGGTCGCCGCGGCCGGGTCCTGATGGTGAAGGTGATGCCTGCGAACAATCGAGAATAATCATAATAGATTCCTTAAGACGTACTTCTGAAGGCATAGGATTCATCTGATGGTGAGTGGTATCAGTCCATCGTACATATTATATCAGAGGCACAATTATTTTTTTAATATTTATTTATTGCTTAGATGGGTAGACAAGCTCACAGCCCACCTGGTGTTAAACGGTTGCCGAAACGCATAGACGTCTACAATGTAAATTCCGCTACCCACCTTGAGATATAAGGTCTCAATTTTTACAGTCCAACAGATGCCCCGCCCTTCAGACGGAAACGCACTACTGCTTCACGGCAGAAGTAGGCAGGGTGGTGGTACCTACCCGCGCGGACTCACAAGAGGTCCTACCACTGGTTGCAAAAGAACATGTCACAGCGCTCGGGAAACACCGTAGAGGTGAGTTCTCATTCCATAGCCGGATGGTACGTGGTAGAAAAGATCTCTGGAAACGCACTGTGGATGAACGCAGTGGCTCCAGGTCATTTATATTTCGATCTCATGTCTCAAAAGCAAACGAGCGTTTTAATGTCTATTAGTCGCAGGATCCATCTACTGCAATATGCCTGAGTGTGCGTGTGCGTGTGTGCGTGTGTGTGCGCGTGCGTGTGTGTGCGCGTGCGTGTGTGTGCGTGTGTGCGCGTGTGTGTGCGCGTGCGTGTGTGTGCGTGTGTGTGTAGTCGGCAATATACATTTTATTAATATTTTTATCATATTGCGAAATCGAAAGTGAGACATAGGTACTCATACTACTCATTGTTGACTTTTAATTTACTTTAAAAATACCTCCTTCTTGCATCGTGTTCCTCAGTACTAAAAATCGCGACCTTTACGTAGCATTTTAGTTCGAACTATGTTCCTCAAAATACATAAACGTTAAA